CCAGAGCTACTAGTACATTGATCAACTAGTACACAATTATGATGTCACTTACAGATCATTACAAATAATGATCAAGTCACTCAATTTGATGTGCTCATTCTCCTGGCCAAAGCTCCCTTGATTCTGAGCGCTCATTCTTCCCTTTTCAAATATTCTGGAACTTATAATCCGTGCCCCCTTCACTGATTAATCCCCAGAATATTCAGACACCAGTCAAACCCAGTTAAAATTTATTTGTGATACATTACCAGTAACTCAACATAAATCAAGTCTACCTTTATTGTTCTTAAGCTTCAGTACATTACTCAACTTATCCACAATATTCATAGCCTTGCTGAATATTCCCCCAACAATATTTATTAATCTTCAACTAATTTTTGTTAAAGCTTAATAAGTATTGTTAGCCCATTCCCTTTTGGGAATAACCAAATCAATCCCAGGTGAGTCTTAGTACCCTGGATGCCTATTAATACCTAGTATTGATCCGGATGCGCTGTTGATAGCAAGCCTCTCAGTAAAGACCATACTGATAGAGTGAAACCTCCTCATTACAGGACTGGTATTAATCACCCACTACCTAACACTCACCACGCTCAAAACACTCAGTCAACTCCTAGTAACAACCTTTCCACCCATCAACACTCAGGTTAGTTACCCAGAGGCTGACACTACTTGTCTTCCATGGGGATTCCTTGCATCCACCAGGTCCACAACGCCACACGCGAGGGGACAAAGTTCACAGCAGACAATTTCCATGCTCAGTGGCATGTCAAGACTGATCTGGCCGTAAGTTCCTCATTTCTCAAGGGATTCCCAATCAATTTTGCAGATGTATTCTGATTTATTTTGTTCACTCATCTGATCATTTGACAGAAGCGACTTAGTGACAACCAAGATGCCCCGGAGACACAGCAGAAGGGCCATGAACACGCGTTCCTCAGTGAGGCCTTTGAAAAATTCCAATCCCTTCAACCTGGCGAACAACACTTCATGCTAGGCAAAATTCACAAACTGCTTGACGGAACACATGCAACGATTCCGCTCGAGGAACCCAAGTTTGGCAAGAACCATCAATTCAAGGGCTGACCCAAAGGCTCCAAACGGAAACACAAATCGACGTCTTCAACCAAGAGGGACCCATCTGGATTTGAGTACGTCGAGGGGCAGAAGAAGAAACGAGGCAGGCCAAAGAAGGTGGCCAAATTGGACGAGGGTCCCAAGCGCAAACCTGGGCAACCAAGGAAGAAACCGGCCAAAAAGGATGAGACGGATGAGTCAGAGGTGTGCATTGCTTATATCCTTCTGAAGATTTTTCCTGCTTCTGATTCATTTTTGCATAGGCCATCGAAACCGACGAGGAGAGTGAGGATGATGCTTCAGATGGAATTGGGGCCCTATGTGAAAATGTATTCACCGAAGAGGAGCATTCGGAAGAAGAACCAAATCCCCCAACTGTAAAGAAGCCCTTGCGAATTAGGCCAATCAGAGTGGTCAAGCAACAACCAGAACCCATCACCGAAGTGGACAAACCTGATGAAACCCCTTTGAGTGAGGCGTTGACTTGGAGTACATACGAGAATGTGGAGATTGACCTTGTGAGTAACTCATCTACTTACTTCTTTTTCACATTGTTCATCCCCTCTTTTTCCCTCTTAAACTTTGGTTAGTATAAGCACAAAGACAGCATCAAGCCGGCTGGAGCAATCACACACATCTTACACGTTCACGACGTTAGAGGCAATGGGAACTGTGGCTTCCGAGCGGTTGCGGTCAGCTTGGGACGTGAGTCTGATGAATGGGACTCAATCCGCAAGGAAATGCAGATGGAATTCGAGTCAAACGAGGCCTATTCGGATGAGAAGTTCTTGGAGAATGTATGGGGAGCAGGGGACGACCGAAAAGACGTCATCGAATCTCTTGCATGGAGAGACAAGGAACAGCCAGCCCCCCTCAAGTACTGGATGACGTTCCCTGCGCACGGTTATTTAATTGCCGATATATCAGAAGAGATGCCCGCCACTTATCTTCCTCTTTCGCATAGCCAAAGAAACAACCCTCCGATCTGTCTGATCCTCTTACCTGACTACTCTCATTTCATTAGTTTCACTTTCAAGGCTGAAATATGGCCATGCCCCAGGACTGATGCATTTTGGAGACACTATGTCAGGGATGAAGCGCTGGGTTGGGAGCAGTATATTCTAGCCCACACTGACCTGGGTAAAGAAGTCTTGTACCCCCCTCTCAGAAGATCTACACGCTTCAGAAAGGATCCTGTTGATGTTGATTAATTTATGAATTACTGTCCTCCATACCTTCCTCTGATTTCCTGCTTGTGTCCCTTTTAAAATCCAAACTACGCTTGTTTATTCCCACACTCTTTTGCAAATTTAAATTTGGCCTCATGAGAATATTATAGCACTCTTTGTCCTTTTTCCATTGAGAAATTCAAGTTCGGAAGGTTGAATAACCACTGGGAACTTTCCACAGTGCTTGCATCAATAAAATGAGTGGGAGCCAAAATTCAAAGGCAAAGAACTCATTTTTAAGCAAAATAAATGTTACCATTCAATTCTACACCCTTCCAAGTGTAGGAAACAAATTTACAAAGTCAAAAAAGAATTAAAAACAAGCCGGTAACAATTAATAGGAAAAATGTGTCGGAAAAAATTGCACCAGGCATACAATTCATTTTTATGCAATATAATTCTCACCATTGAATTCTACACCTTTCAAAGTGTAGGAATCAACTTTACAATGTCAAAAAATAATGAAAAAGAAGGCAGTAACACTCAATTGTACATATGAGTTAGCAGAAAAAAAAATCAAAGTCGTTTTTATGGTAAGTGGACTTGACCATTAAATTCTACACCTTTTAAAGTGTAGGAAAAAATTTTAAAAAATCAAAAAAACTCATAAACAATGGAAGAAATTAATTAATTAAAAAATGCGCGTTTAAACACGGAATGCGCGTGTGCTGCGCGCAGCAAAAGCGCGTCAAAACAAGGAAAATGCGGGTTTTTTTATTAAGGCCCAAAAAAAAAACCTTTTTTTTCTTATTGTTTTTTTTTGAAAGAAAAAAAAAAGATGAATGGGGCCGTCCCATAGGACCCATGCCTGGATCCTATGGGACGGCCCAGGTCCTAAACGCATATTTACATATGCATATATTTGGCATGCAGGCAGGCAAGCCAACCTGCAGGGTATACCCCCTGCAGGCAAGTGGCTTGCCGACCTGCACGCCATTCTGCAATGGCGTGCAGGTGCGCACACCAATCTGCAGCTGGCGTGCGCGAGGGGGGTTGGCTTGCGTTTATCAACCTCCCATGTGATGGTTTCAGTGAAACACACATTTGATTATTTTATGTAGGTTTTCAAGTCTACATGTTGCTTTTTGACATTTGGAAAAATTGAGGGGGTGATTGAGGCAACTTGATTTTTTTTTTTGAAATTAATTTGATTCATCTTACATGTGGAGAGAAACACCAAACATATTGAATACATGTTGTGATACTCATTTTCTGCAGGCCAGCAGACTACAGGCATAATAGGTAGCTTGTATTTTAAATACCCTTCATATAACTGGATTTTACTGTTGAAAACCAAAAAAAAACTGATGTCCACAGCACAGTAACTGTCATAAACTTTGAATACTACACCTCTCTCAAAAATAGAGATGCTGCCATGCTAATATCAAACCTCAAAGCAGGTCCCAGGGGGCCCTTGAAAAGCTGAATAAGTGCAATTCTGATGGAACTTGAAGCTTAAACATGTTCCAGTCCTTCCACACAGAAAGGTTTTGTGCGAAGTTAGATTTACAGGTAAAAATAGTGCAGGCAGCTCAACCAATATCCTTATCTAGATTTAAATTGTCATTTTTTCTGATCAAACATTTTTCAAACCACACCTGCATCTTGTACTCATGTGATAGTTTCAGTGAAACATGCATTTGATTATTTTATTTAGGTTTTCAGGTCCACATGTTGCTTTTTGACATTTGGAAAAATTGAGGGGGTGATTGAGGCAAATTGGTTTTTTTTTGAAATTAATGTGATTCATCTTACACGTGGAGAGAAACACCAAACATATTGAATACATGTTGTGATACTCATTTTCTGCAGGCCAGCAGACTACAGGCACAATGGGTAGCTTGGATTTTCAATACCCTTCATATTACTGTATTTTCCCGTTGAAAAACAAAAAAAACTGATGTCCACAGCACAGTAACTGTCATAATCTTTGAATACTACACCTCTCAAAAATAGAGATTCTGCCATGCTAATATCAAACCTCACAGCAGGTCCCAGGGGACCCTTGAAAAGTTTAATAAGTGCAATTTTGATGGAAATTGAAGCTTTAACATGTTCCATCCCTCCCACAAATAAAGATTTTGTGCAAAGTTAGATTTACAGGTAAAAATACAGGCAGCTCAACCAATATCCTTATCTAGATTTCAATTGTCATTTTTTCTGATCAAACCTTTTTCAAACCCTATCTGCATCTTGTACTCATGTGATGGTTTCAGTGAAACATGCATTTGATTATTTTATGTAGGTTTTCAGGTCTACATGTTGCTTTTTGACATTTGGAAAAATTGAGGGGGTGATTGAAGCAACTTAATTTTTTTTTGAAATTAATGTGATTCATCTTACACGTGGAGAGAAACACCAAACATATTGAATACATGTTGTGATACCCATTTTCTGAAGGCCAGAAGACTACAGACATAATGGGTAGCTTGGATTATAAACACCCTTCATATTCCTGGATTTTCCCAATCATCCACATCCCACTTGCATAATACATTGCAACTCTTAGTTCAATCAAAAATTATCAATATCAATTCAAATCTAGCCATGCAATTAGCCAGTGTCTTGTGTGCTTTTCATCTTTTACATTGCTATGTAATCTCAGCACATCCAATGTTATATCCAAAAACTCTGAAAAAGAGAGAAGTTGAAGGTGCTTCTTTAGATACTCAACTTAACCATCTCTACAAGAGAATGGAAGGATCCTCCCAAGGTATGTCTTTATTCCTCAGGATGTTTTTATACCTATTTTTTCAAAAAATGATAGAGATAGCAGATATCATTTTCTTTGATTAATGAAGAAAGCAAAATATTCATCATCAAATATCTAATTCTAAAAATGCTTCAAAAATACCTCCCCATACTGACAAAAAAATACAAAAAAAATTGATCATTTGGGAATTTTAAAACTCAATGATATTGCAGGTGGAAGAATGACAGATGATGAGATAGCTGCACGCATGAAGGCAGCAAGTAAGTTTTCTTCAAATGATCAAATGATAAATTGGGATCAAACTATTGACCTGATGCTTTACAAAAAAAATGATGGTTACAAAAACCACAATTCTCTTTATGAAAGTTCGGCCACAGAAACAAAAAGTGGAAGTTGTAGCACGTAAACAAGCAGAAATGCAAATTCGGTTAGATGAATATGATAGAATGTTGCAGCGTCAATATGACAGTTTTCGTTCAGGAGTAGTAGATGAAGACTCTGAGAATATTAAACAACTTGATGCACGCTTTGGAAAAAAATAAGCACTGGAATAATGATGTGCTCATGCCTCTCTGTCATTTCTCTCAAATCCCTGTCACTCCTTTTTCCATCTGTCACTCATTTTCTTCCCTGTCAGATGAATATCCATGTCACCATTTGTCCCACAACTCAGCCCAATGTGTATGTAGATAAATAATCATGCTCATGAGTTATAAAATGAAAATGGCATCTGTTCTTCTGTGCCTTATCTAGAGATGGTCTCAGGGTATCCGTTGCGGATACTCACTATCTGCTGGCGGATACTCACTATCTGCTGGCAGATACTCACTATCTGCTGGCGTATACTCACTATCCACTGGCGGATACTTGCTATCCGCTGGCTGATACTCGCTATCCGCTGGCGCATACTTTCTATCCGTTGGCGGATACTCGCTATCCACTGGCGGATACTTGCTATCCGCTGGCAGATACTTGCTATTTGCTGGCAGATACTCGCTATCTGCTGGCAGCAAAAATGTAACTGATGCAATGCATGCATAGGTATCACATCATATCAGGCCTTTATTGCATTGCATCGTGAGAGCAATGTGGGGCCCCGCATCGGATTCTTTGATACAGTGCATCAGTATTGCATTGGCAAAGCAATGCCAGATGGCCCACAGGTACCTGGCTGATTTTCATGGTACCTGCTTCAAATTGCTTGTGATCAAACAAAATCAATATGTAACACTTTCATCTCATCAAGAACCACCGGGGCTTGAGGAAGACACTAACACTACAAACAATACCGATTTTGCCCCAAGGAAAAATGGCAATTTGGATGGTGGAAAATAGATCAATTTTCTGGCACTTTTTTTACAAGATGCCTCAGGAGTAAAAAATTAGGCTAAAATGAGCTATTTTAGCCAAAAAATAAAAATGTCCCAAATGAGCTAAAAATTCATTTTGGAATGTTTGATGAATTTCTATCTCTGGGCTAAAATAGCTCAGTTTAGCCTAATTTCTACTCCTGAGGAATTTTGTAAAAATTTCCAGAAAATTGATCCATTTTCCCCCACCCAAATTGCCATTTAATTTTGGGGCAAAATCGGTATTGCTTGTAGTGTAAACAAACTGTCTAGGAAGGCACCTGTCCAAGTACAGATCCATATACCTGCACACAGGTACCTGTAAGCAGGTATACCTGTTGACAGGTACCTGTGCGCAGGTATTTGGCATCTATACTCTCACCTGTGTAAGGCCATGCAGTTAGGTGAGTTTCTTACTCAATTCCAAGTGGTATCTGATGATAAGAAAGTGTTACATATTGATTTTGTTTGGTCACAAGCAATTTAAAGCAGGTTCCATGAAACACTATAATTTGGCGGCATCAGTTTGCATCGCTTTCCAATACGATGCCGATGCAATGCATTGCTTTTTTGATGTGATGCC